TTTTACGCCAGAATATACATTTAAGTGTAGGAGATACAACATTTTAATAGACTCAGTAAAGACAGAGTAAAGTCAAAAATAGTCAGTCCAACATTAACAGGTATTACTTCATTAGCAATGCTTAAGTTCTAGCCTGTAGCATAATAGCCAACTTCTAGGAACAGAAAGGTGATTACGAGATATTGTTAGTCATTTATGATATTAATAAATGTGTGCAAATTCAAAAATCAAGTAAGGTTAATCCCCAAAAATCCCTTCGAGTCAGGGAAATGAAATTTCCATTGGATGCAATGTGGGGTGAAAATGATCAAGTGGGAAAATCTGATCATGTTCCACATGATTTATTCACTGTGTTATTCCCATCACACACATAACCCCCTGTTTATAATTCAGAGTCAATACAAGTGGTGATAGATCTGCATAAGCTAAGGATTTGATTAAAAATGTTAAATGCTCTTGAGAGAAACACAGGAACCAATTAGTGTTTTTCATCTCTAGCACACTTTACACTCTGAATGAGTTGTCAGAGCACACAGCAGATCTGACAACTCACTCACCTCATCGCCCTCCGCTCTCATTGTGTTGGTTTTGTTTTGTACCTTCTACTCTGACAGACTGCAGATCACAGACACTAGAGTTAAGCTTGTTAGCTATTAGAGGACATGAGGGGCAGTGAAAAAGCCAGTAGCTCCAAACAGTCCGCTTGAACAGTGTGGTGGAGCCTGCTAATGCAGCTCAGCTTGAACCGTGAGATATGGGTCCCATCAAGACCTCTCCCCCTCAGGTGGCCTATGAGGATTGGATCGACACAAGAATCTGTTCTGCTGTGGACTGTACCAACCTGAGGGATCTTTGATGTCAGATAAGTAATTTAAAGGTACAGTGCGTAGAAATGGAGCTTCTGAGTGACCAGAATTCTGGTTGACACGCTCCCTTGCTCACTCCTTGTGGGTGAAGTGAGGGTGTCCTCCAAGAGGCCCCTATGACACATTATACATGTAATCCTCTATTTGTTCAGTGATTATTTACTAATGTAAACAAACTAATGGACATCCTTTTTTCTACAGCTTGCAATTTATTACTATGTAGGGGAGACCGGGGCTTGTATCACACTTTTTACACTCTTATATATTTCTTGGAATCTCATTTTCTTTCATAAAAGTGAACGTCAATGTCAGGCACAGAAAAGTTTTATCATTGAGCTGGAAAAAGTCATTGAACAAATGTTAACATAAAATATTATGCAACATGCTCTGGAGTAGGGCTGGACGATAAAACAATAACGATATATATCAAAAATTAATTTCCCTTAATATCAATATGAAAAATGGTTAATATCCTTTCGATTGTTGGCATTCTGCCATGTTCTGGTAGACTATATGAATAGTCAATAAAAAGACGAGTTGCCCCCGGGTCCGTTTCACGGTGAACCTATCATGTGCTGAATTAGAACCAAGTAGCAAACAACTGCATAGTAGGAAGCTGCAGCTACACGCAACCATAGCACTTTAACATGTGAAGCCGACAGCACTGTCGATGAGAAAGAAAGAAAATGAGTGCTACCCCTGGCAGAAGGCTCGACAGATGGCAATGTTGTCAACAACACTGACATGAATACATACGTTGGTGGAGTGGAGGTATTTTGGTTTTTTGAGGTTGGACATGAAGCAGGTTGGACATTCTCCGCAAAGTCGGAGAATACCTCAAATCTTTTTCACCACCTGAAGCAGTGCCACGTGGTAGAGCACACGAAATGCAAAAGGTTAGAAACCTTGAGTGGAGCAAGGAGCCCATGGCGCCTGTGCAGCTGTAACAGTTGACAATTCAGTCTGCGTTCTCTAGCACAACACCTTACGACAAAATGTCGAAGAGACACAAAGACCTACCAGATGCAATAGCTTATGGTATTGCAAAAGACATGCTACCAACAAGCACTGTTAAATTTCATCTTTTATATCATAATATATATCGATATCAACTGATATGAAAAAAATATATCGTGATACAGTTTCTCCCATATCGCCCAGCTCTACTCTAGAGTTTGGAGAGCTGTCTGACTGTATTTCATAAAGGAATAAAACTAGTATTCCACTTTTTAGTTGGGCCCCCTGGTGGCAAAGATAATTGCAATGTGACAACTTACCCATGTGACAACAAGCCCCGGTCTCCCCTACTGCTCCTTTAAATGTGTGTTCCAATCATTGCAAACAGCATTACGTCAGTCACATGAATGCACCAGCTGGTTCCTTTCTGTGACTGCCCTTGCTCCAAATTATGTCACCCTCACAAATGTAAGTGCCTATTAAAGCTTGACTTTCTGTTGACTTTGACTTTTTTTCTGATTTCTGGCTTCACTGTTTACATGATTGGAGGAGATGGAGGTGTGCTGCCCATATCAACACACTAAACAGTCAATGCTTTTAACCAGCTGTGCGCAGAAAATCATTCAAAACACTGACCCAATCACAACAGCGAAAATCTTTCACTGATGTATTATTGATTTTGCTACTTGTGCCGTCTCATGTTTCAGCTTAACACATTATGGCAGCACACTGTAGAATGCATGCTTTATTTAAGCGGTGAGATAATATCACATGATTATGTGTTTACAGTGTTTTCAGTTTAGGTTGGTCGAGCCAGATGAAAACACAAATTTAAATCAGCGGATCTGCTTTAGTTCAATTCCCTTAGAAGTGCTCCTTTTCCTGTGGTATAAGCCACCAGATTCTTTAAAAAGCAGAGAGTGAAATCCTTTTGACGTAGATTTGTCTAAAGAAAATAAGTAAGTGTCTCTCTGAAAGTACAGCCAGAACAAAGAGCCATCCTTGAGCAAAGAAGAAGAGGGGAGGATATGAGCGTAGCAGCTCATTCATGAAGCACATATTATCGACTGTGGTCTTTATGAAACCCATTTACATGTACAGTTTATGACAGCTAGAGAAAGACAGAAACAATGAGAGCAGCCCAGTGAGGGTTACACACAATTGTGAGCTTGTGTTTGAGATTTGCGTCATGCACTCAGCAGGAACCAGATTGAATCTGAATGTGTTATCTGCAAGGAAGAAGGAAACCCAAGGGAGATGGCCCAAATATGTGTCTGACTACCAAAGCAGGGCCTTCCGTAGGAACGAGTCAAACAGTCCTATGTGCATGTGCTTGTGTCCTCAACCGCTTAAGATGTTCAGTGATTGAGAGGCTGTGGCAAATAGCTCCATAAGTCAATAAAACAGAGCTATGGGTGGGAACCAGAGAAGAAAGGTGGTAAAGGTCGCCTTGATGAGCTTTCTTTTGTCCAAATCCTCTAAGCCAGAGAATTTAAGGCTTTTCTGCCATTACACCCTGCTTTAATGACGCACAAAGATGAAATCCTCCATTTCAAGGTCTATCAGGAAGTTAAAGGCAGTAAATGTCTTGACTCATGAGCAGCCAGAAAGGTTGGATTTCACAAATCACAGTTCCTCCATCATCGGGGAAAGTCAGCCTTTGCTTTGGACTCTTTTACAGTGAGATACATGTATTTGACAAAGTTACTATTTATAGACTTAAAAAACACAGACACTACGTTTAATACGTCGACAGCAATCTAAATTTCAGAAGTCACATCAACCACAATACAAGATCATCTTTCTATCATCTCAAAAACATCTCCAAACTGAGGGGCTATCTGTTAAAATCAGACTTAGAAAAATTAATCCACGTATTTATAACAAGTAGACTGGATTACTCTCATGGTTCATTCACTGGACTCCCAAAATCAAGTATTCAGAGGTTACAATTAATTCAAAATGCAACTGCACGTATTCAAAATACTACAGCACTACATGACCTTGCACCTCAGTACATCACAGATATGCTCATAGGGATGTAACAATATGAAAATTTAACATCACAATTATTGTGACCAAAATTATCATGGTTATCAATATTATCACAGTATTGTTACAATATGTTAAAAATGTTTAAAAAGTACTTATACACGCCCTGAAATCATTTAACAAAGTTTTATTTTGAAAAAACAATCAAAATAACACGCAGAATGAACTTTTCCTTCACCTCAAATAACAGAGGAACGATAAGATTAAAAATTAAAGATGGGCCCTTAACAGAGCCAAAGGTAATACTTGTAATAACAACGTACAAAGTAATGTGCCAGTGGCATAAACTTAAACTCCTTATTAGAAAATGTTTTTTGAATAAATTTTGGCTACATTTGGCCAATTAGTTATTCAGTTATCAGCTGTAGCTAGTGTCTACCTTATCAGAACGCTGTAGCCTCTCTCAAGGTTAAGCATTATTTCATTTTTCTGTTTTTTTTCTCTCTGTGTGAGAGAATCTCTTTTGTGCACACAGTCAGGCAGAGTTCGCTTTGAGCACACACACATATATACACACTCTATTCAGACCCTTGTGCTTTGACAACAGCCATATTATCAAACTGAAACTGCAGGCTAGTGAGCCATCCCCCTGGAGCTGCTGGGGGTTAAGTGCCTTGTTAAAGCGCAGTTTGATAGAAGTGGATGGTTCATTAGGTAGTTCTTTTACCATGTACAGTCCTAAACCATAGAGGATCTCTTTTTGATACAAACAGACAAAACTGATGCGCTGTTGGTACCTATAAATCTCTCGAAAATGCTTTGGATAGCTGTGGTTCAGTGTCTGTATTGCGGTGGGAGATAAGAAGTCACACAGCATGCCCGGAAATCTGAAATCTTAGTCAGCGGTCTCAAAACCGGCTTTACCACATTGCAGCCCAAACAAGTTCTACGCCTCAACTCCTCCCACAGATCAAGAGTGTAAGCAAGTATAAATGTGACTCCACATGCCTTTCACACAGTCAGACGCCACTGATTTGAATGTGCAACCATGTTGTACAACTTTCTCTCTCCCCGCATGAGACGGGAGCTCCTGCAGTGCCGCTGAAAGATGATGATCTGGAAGATAAACCCTCTGTATGAGAGGATTAATCATTCAGCCTGTTGAGGGGGCTGTATGTTAGACATATGGATTGCCTTGATGGATCCCCTGGGGAGTTCAGGAACTTTGAGAAGGGCGACTTTGAAGCAGACTGGATTAAGGTGGCAGAAAGCAGATTTGGTCAGGTGTACCAGGTCAAGCTGAAGCTTTCGCAGCTACAATGTGCCGTAAAGAGCTTTGACACAACACAGTGTGCGAAGAATGTTTACAGGTGGGATATATTGATGAAACTCTGCGTACATTTTACATAATCTTGCTGTATGAGTACCTATAAGTTTTAGTTTCAGGAGCATTTCAACCATTTAATATCAGAAAGTTGCTTTCTGTGGTCAAATAAATACTCATTTCTGCTCAAAACATTCATTTTTCATCACAGGAGATTGATAGAAGAGGCGTCCAGCATTGCCAAAGTGAAATCCAAGTACATTGTGACCATCCACGGACTGTGCAGAGAAGCTACAGCTATGGTGATGGAGTACATGAGTAATGGATCCTTGAACAATCTCCTGGCCAGTCACACCTTGATGTGGCCGAAGAAGTTCCAGATGATTCATGAGGCCTCAATGGGCATGAATTTTCTCCACAGCATGAAACCTCCACTGCTCCACCTCAACCTCAAGACATCCAACATCCTTGTAGATGATTACCTGCATGTCAAGGTCAGTGAAACTCAATGAAATATCATTTGTGTGTACAGGGATATTTCTGTGCCCTAAGTAATAAATACAAAGCTTGTCTTACTATGAAATTCTTGTCCTTTTATTTTGTTAAGATTGCAGATTTTGGTTTAATCCACTGGGAAGAGGGCATGAACAAGAAGTTGTTCACAGAGAGTCTGGCAGCGAGAGGGAACATAAGTTATATTCCTCCGGAGAGCTTCACCCAGGGCTCTGATCCTCCAGGAACTGCGTTTGATGTTTACAGGTGACTTGCCAAGGGCATTTCTGAAATTGCACCATTACAGTCACTGCTTTTTTTCCCTGCTTCAGTTCAAAACCCACAGTTCACACAACGTAACCTCGATCTCGACTGTATTAAAGTTACCATGACAGGTCACTGTGGACATACGCTATTTCACTCATGGCTGGCACACACGCTCTTACTTTTTAAACTCACCGCTTTTATAAATTGCAATTTCTTTTTAATCAAAGTGGAGTGAAACATCTTTTTTACTACTGCTATTTGAACAAAATTGAGACTGCTACTAATTTCCCTAACTGCAGGATATGCAGCAGTAAGAGTTTCGGATTGAAGTGCCTCTTTTTGCTTTATTTCGCAGCTTTGGAATTGTTATTTGGGAGATTCTGACACAGCAGAAACCACACACAGGTAGGAATTTATGTGTGTATATAATCTTTATTTCACACAGATTACTTGGTGCAAAATGAGCAAAAATTCGCAAAACACTCAAAATATCCAGCTAAACAGGACTGAGGGCATTGCTATCTCAGTCAGACAATGAAAGACCCACTCAGTCCCCACAGTCAAACAAGACTACTTCACCCTAGGTTTGCTCCCCCTGTTCAATTATAATTTGCATAACCACTTATTAACAATTAATCCCTTACTTAGTACCTCTATCTTTCTTAATGAGCTCTAAAATACCATAACACCATCGGCTTATCAGTTCCTTCAACGTAACTCCCAGGTGAGCAGGTGTGCTGCAGAATTTGAGTTCTCAGCATATTTTAGTCAAGTTTCACTCAGACAAAGTATTCAGAAAATTTGTCAACACATCCGAACCTGCTTTGCTGCTCTGGAGTAAGTCTGCATGAGTGAAACCACAGTGAACCACATGTCTTAAATCTGCTTTTGTGGTCCCAGGGTGCAGCGTGACCACGGTGCTCTTACAGGTGTCACAAGGTAAAAGACCCTCTGTGGAGCTGATTTCTGAACAAAGGCCTCCTGAATGTGATCAGATGATCCACATCATGAAGCAGTGCTGGGAGCAGGACCACAGGAAGAGGCCGCAGTTCTCAGGTGTGCCAAGTGGATTTAAAGCTCTGAATGGAAATGCAGCCATTACTAAAGCTCCCACACCCACAACAGACACACTAAGTCTTGTACAAATAATATAATAGATAAAAAGGATATAATTTTAACTGAATAAGCAGAAAAAAAAATATATTTGTGAAAAGAAAAGTAATGTTTGGGATGCTTCATTTTTCCTGAGTTGTGCTCATATCCTTTCATGTAATCCCATTGTAAAACAGTTTTTCAGTGCACACAAAGCTATGCCGTCTATTAAAACTTTGTTTTTTACGTAAATCAATCAAGTTGAAGTATATATTCAAAATTGTAAGTACTATTCATGCTTAGCATTTAGAATCTCACAGGGTAAGAGATGAACAGTGCCACATGCTGAAAACTTAAAGGGATATTCCAGCGTAAAATTAATTCAGGGTCAAACACACAGTAACACCAAGTTAGACACCCCCTCGAGAGATGAATGTTGCTGACCGCTTGCTTCTCTAGTTATACCAACTTTAGTAACGACTACAGATAGCAATACACAGCAGTCTGAGGAGCCACACACAAACCTCAACCAAAAATCCACTCTATAGCCACAAATAATGCTCAGAACGGCACCTAACTTCATCAACAGTACATATAGGGTCCTAGCCACTAAACATCTTTTTAGCTTTGACTAATTTCTTTAGCAAAGAGACTAAATACAACTTACCTACTCTCTTCCAGCAGCTGCTTGTTTGTAGCAAGACCTCAGGCCAGTCCAGTATGGACTACAGCGGGGTGACACAGCTCAAGGAAGAACATTTATGATAATTTCTTCATGGAAATACAATCAGACCAAGACGCTAAGGCAGAAAAACTACCACGTCTGCAGTGCAAAATGATTAATATGATGATTATTACTTCAAGGAAATAATAAAGAAATGACCATAAATGTTCTTCCTTGAGCTGCGTCACCCCGCTGCAGCCCATAATGGACTGGCCAAGTCCATTAAAGTTATGTTATGTTGAGAAATTAGTTTGAGATTTTTTTTTATGTTTGAGGGTAAAAGGGTAAATAGAGCACATTTGTTTAGAAAGACACCCACAGCTCCAAAAGTCATGCTGATGAATGCAAATCAGCGTTGTGTTTATTCCTAAACAGCAGCTATTATAGTCTCTGATAATAACAGACACCCGTCGTACATAACAATTTGCTCCATGTTGAGCGATTATGAAAGGTTTTGCAGTTGGGAGTATGGGCAAACATTTGTCTGATTAGGTACATTCAGAACAGCCTTCTCCCTCTAAATTCTGCCCGATATTTTATTTGCAGACATGGTGAAGGAAACAGAAGCACTGAGTGAAGTCCTGAAGATCCCAGAACCAATCAGAATGTCAAACAGTGACAGTAGTCAGAAATCAGGTTATCCACGGCAGCTTTCACTGATACACAAGGTAAGCTCAAAGTCATAAATGTTTGTATTCTCCTTTTTCATTCTTAGTGTAAAATAGCAATCAGGGAGATGCTTTGTTTGATTGTTATGACTGCTGGTATGGATTTTTTTCATTAAAGCTCTTTCTTGTTTATTGTCACACTGCTATAACTGCACCATATATATTTTTTAATCTCATGCCAGGAGCTGCTTGTAAAATGTATGCATGATATTTCTTAATGTTTGCACAATCCACTTCAAGTCCCTCTGATTTATTTTGTTTTCATTTTTATTGCACCATATGCTTTGCTTTTAAGATAGGTTTCCCCCTGAGTGTGGAATAATGAGAAATAAGACTGAAGGACGAGGTGCTGTAGTTTACACAGCAAAAACATTCCTCGGTCACGCTCGCAACTCTGTGAAATGTGATAAAGCACTGCTTTGAATGTGCAATAAGTACTTGGGGGAGCAGAAAAACACATACTTGCATCATAACCATCCTTTTTATTTTTATTGAAGAAACTTGAAAGAGTTGGCTGTTGACATATTCAGACATTAAAACAACATACTGTAAGCATTTATTTTTAGTGGTGTTTTCAGTGAATAAAAGTACAGAAGATGCTAATCATGGCACAACCAGTTAGAAAACTGACTCTTACAGTCTTTTCACAGGAAACAATAGGGCTGTGAAGGTTGCACTCTCATCTTATGAATAGTCATTCAAAAAAAGCTACAATTAGTGCTTATATGCTCATTTCACAATGCTAACAAGCTGCAGCAGGTTTAGTTTTGATCATGTTAACATCTCAAAACAATGTAGAAGTACATGTAATGGTAATATGTTGTGTAGTGCATTGTACACACTAATATTTCCAAGCTTGCTATAGTGTTTGCTTATTTGCACTTGTATAAAGTAGGCTAGTACAGCTCGAGCTGAAGGGAATGCCACACTGCAGTACCCAAAGCTAAGTGTTTTCATCTCATATCTGAAAAAGTTTCACACACAGACTGTATATAGAATCGACAGCGTCTTTCTCCTTGCTGGGTGAAGCAGCCCCAAGAACAGCACCCTCAGGCTGCAGTATAGGTCATAAATTTAAATAGGTATAAAAGTGTCTACTGGTAGAAATGATGCTATATCGTTTATACCGGAGAGAGAGCAGATGTCTGCTGCATCTCTCTAAGTCAGTCTGTAATTGCGCTCGCTAACAGGAGAGCCGGGGTCATCCATTTGGGCGCCTTTCCGTATATTCACCATTGTGTCGTACAGAGTTTGTTCGCTCCGTTTGATTGGTCAGGTTTGGGTGCGCTCCCTATAATCATCAGCAGACTGCTTGGCATAGTTTCGACAAAGGAGAAACAGATTCACTGGTATTGGCCATGGCAGACGCTGTGATTTGTAGCAGTACCAGGCAAAAGGAGGCAGCCCAGCCCACCCAACATGAGGATGAACTTGTTCTGAAAAAGGGTGCGAGTCGCGACATCGGTTGTCTGGAGATTCTTTGGATTTAGAAAATCTGACAATGATCAAAAACAATACTATGCAAATAGTGTCATGTGGCTGTCGTTGCTTGAGGTGGACACACCAGCAACCTCTTCCACCACCTAAAGATGAAACGCGCCATGCTCTATTATGTGAGCCAGAAGATGCGTGGCGCACCTGCACCAAAAACTAAAGTTGCAGCAGCTCTACTCATACAGAGAGCTTGACAGAGTCTTTCGCCAAAAGTACACCATATGAAAAAAAAAATAGCCAGACTAGTCTGGCATTTTTTTGCATTTGTATACAAATCTGAGTTTAAAAAAAGAAAATGAACAAATGTGACAGTATGGTTATTTTTAAGCCATAAATTGATTTTACAGGGGGGGGGGACATACCGGGATATATACTGCTACCATGATATAAAATTACTCATACTGTGATGTAAGATTTTGTGAATACCGCCCAACATTACTTGACACTTGATACAGCCCATGGACGTACGAAGATTGCGTAGCTGTTTGAGCCAAGCGTCATCACAGCTGCACCGAATGCGTACATCACTACTGCAAGTGGTGGAGTGCGTACAACGCTACTGCACAATGTTGGTTTCAGGAAGTGGAGAAAAAATGTGGAATTACAGAGAGCTTTTTGCTTCAAATCCGTATACTGGCTGAAGGCGTAACCAAGTTGTCCATAGTGTATACAGTCTTTGGTTGTACAAGACAAAGTGTTAACCACACTTACAAACAAAACAAATTGCAAATAACAAATGATTTTTTCAAACCTCAAGTGTTTTGATGTAAGAATAATGTCACATACATGCTTGTTAACCTCCTGTGATGATTGATGTCACAGTTTATAATGTTTTCTCTCCTACTTTCCTCTTTTAGATTGCGTTGCCTGAGCTGCCTGACCTTCCCTCAGCAGGTAAACACATGGCAACAATAGGACTGAAAACCATGTTCAAATGCAGTATACCAAGCCTGGAGGGCTGACATTTAAAAAGTGCCATTTACAGATCCATCACATTTTAATTTTACCTTCAGTGCTGAGAAGCAGAGTCAACTATCAGTGGAAGAGAGAATAAAGAAACATTCGTGCAGTTATGTATGCTTTTTCTCTTGAGTATCCACTCAATTTTTATAGAGAGTTTGCAAAATTTCACGTGATCCCCACCTGAAATGCAATCGTGCAATCGTGGGAACATTGACTCCACACAGTTTAGACAAATAGGTAATACTGACTGAGCTTCCCAGGCCTGAAAAACTTACCACCCTCTGCACAGCAAAGCACAGTACATGTTAAAATGTAGAGACTCAATTTGATATTTTCTGGGACATAAAGGTATGATCTAAACTACTGCAGCTCTTTTTCTCATTCAACGCCCTTTGCTTTCATTTCACAGATGACCAACATGCAGAGGATGAAATTCTCTCCCTGCTCTCCAAAAAGGAGTTTGGTAGTTTCAGACAATCTGTGAGAACCGAGCATGTGCACACACAGTTTTCAGGAGAAAAAAGTCTCCTCCACTACACAGTGGCCAGCGGGAATGCAGAGAGCGTTAAACATGTGCTGAGTCTTGGGGCTGAAGTCAACTGCACTACCGCCAGAGGTTACACGCCACTTATTGTCGCTGTTTTGCAAAGGTTCGTATGAAAAAGCTGTTAAAGGGATATTCTGGCGTAAAATTAATTCAGGGTCAAACACAACGTAACACTGAGTTAGACACCCCGTCGAGAGATAAATGTTGCCGACTGCTTGCTTCTCTAGCTACATCAACTTTAGTAACGACCACACAATAGCAATATACAGCGGGGTGACGCAGCTCAAGGAAGAACATTTATGACCATTTTTTCATGGAAATTCAATCAGACCGAGACGCTAAGGCAGAAGAACTACCGCGTCTGCAGTGCAAAATGATTAATATGATGATTATTACTTCAAGGAAATGATAAAGTAATGATCATAAATGTATTGCTATTGTGGGGTCATTAGAGAAGCAAGCGGTCGGGAACATTCATCTCTCTACGGGTTGTCTAACTCGGTGTTACGGTGTGTTTGGAAAGAAGCTTGTGTTTGCAAGCAGCTATTTTTACGATGTTAACCTTAATAAGGTCACAGAGATCTCCTAAATTCATTATTTTGCTGATGCTTAAATGAGAAGTTTGATTCGTCTCTTTGGTTTATCTTTCTAACTGGGTTGAGAGCGCAGGAAATTTATCTGAGAATCACAACAAAAATTCAGTCTGCAGGCCAATGTCATAACGATTCGATGAAATCACTTTCCTTCAGGTTTCATGAGCTCATCTATTTGTTGCTGGAACATGGAGCAGCTCCAGACCTTGGAGATGAAGATCAATGGACGGCGCTCCATTTCGCTGCTCAAAGCGGTGACGACAGGATAGTTCGCCTCCTCTTGGACAAAGGAGCAGCAGCAGATGCACGGGAAAAAGCTGGTTGGATGCCACTCCACCTGGCCTGCCAGAACGGCCACGAAACAGTGGTGCGCCTGCTGCTTTCACGGCTGTCGGAGGAAGCCGTTGGAGAACGGGAAGCACAGGGGAGGACGCCGCTTCACCTCTCCTCAACTTACGGTCATCATGGTATTGTCAAGCTCCTCCTTTCCCAGGGAGCAGATCCCAACGCCATAGACTGCTCCATGTCCACAGCCCTTCACTTAGCAGCTGATGAAGGCCAGAACCGAATAGTCAGACAGTTACTGAAGAGTGGCGTAAATCCCAACTGTGCCGACAGCAGAGGCTTCACCCCGCTGCACCTGGCTGCTCTGAAGGGCCACACGGGCATATGCAGGCAGCTGTTGTCAAATGGGGTCAGCCCAGACATAAGGACCTTGCAATGCTGGACACCCATGCACCTGGCGGCCCTTAGAGGACACGAAGCCACGGTGGTACAGCTGGAGAGTCAGGGCGCTTGTGTAAACGCTAGAGGTGAGAATGGATGGACCCCGCTACACCTGGCCTGCCACCAGAACGAGGCGGAGGTGGTGGCAAACCTCCTGTCCGCCAAAGCCGACCCAAACGTGTGGGAGGACAGTGAAAGATGGACACCATTACATGCAGCATGCATCAGCGTCAGCCTCCCCAGTGTCCTCCACTTATTAGCACATCACGCAGATGTGAATGCAGTAAACTCTAGAAAGGCTTCAGCTTTACACCTGGCTGCCCAGCATGGCTCCACACCCATGGTAAAGGCTCTCCTACTGAATGGAGCAGACCGGACTCTGCGAGATTCTTCTGGATCTACAGCTCTGGATGTCGCCCAACGGTGTGAGAAATGGGAGATAGTAAAGCTACTGCAAACGTAGCAACACTTCGTTAAAAGTATTTTTAAACCATACTGACACAGATGGAAAACTTATCTGTTTTTGTGTGGAAGTTTTATCGAGCAACTTCACTTCTTTTCCTCTGTAAGTTACAAACAACCCACATTGAATTTTTGCCATCTGCTGATCCCAAACCAGGCTTTTGTAGAATCAGTTAAGTCGCAAACATCTGTTAAATCCTACAGGATCAATAGAGGAAGAAAAAAAAAGAAAGGAAACCACTTCTAGGGTCAGAACAAGGTGAAGTACCCTATAAGGACAAAACACGAATCAATTGTGGCCTTTGAATGGTCTTTATCGGTCTGTTTGTGTGCTAAGTTGGAATTAAAGCAGCATCCACACAGGGATGAATGTGAAAACTTAGAAGAGCTGCTGCTTTCGTGATTTAGAGGCATTCATTCATTAAACCTGCCAGACTTTACGAAGGTCTCATGTATCTAATAATTTTGGTGCAAATATTGATTACCATAGAAATAGTAGATAATGATTATTGGTATTTTGTGCATTGGTCGAGCCCTTTCAGCTAGAACTACATGACATAGGCGGTGTCTGATTATTCGACATTCCCTACAGACTGAGGGGAGCACTGCCCAGCTCATGTAATACTCATTCACCACAGTGAAACCTTATTGAATACAAATGAAACGCACAGTTTAAAGGGCTGAATTGACCCGTAGTTTCACTCGGTTTTCCCCATGAGAGACTGAATAAGCTGGAAACAGGAGTTGAGCTGCGTGAAATGATTTTGAATGAACAGCAGAGTAAAGTTTGGCTCATACAGTGAGATCAGTTTGACTACTGTCTTCTTTCTCAATTGACATTTTATGACTTTCTTTAAGTTTGACCCTGTGTGTTTTTTTTGGCTTGTTTGTGTTGTGTCCATGCAGTGACCTCAAGGGTTCAGAAATGCTGCAAAAACCAAGCACCACATGGCAGCTGCTCACATTCCTACTGTAGGGTTTGACCATAAACATTAGTGGAGGAGTGAGAGTTTCTATGTACCATATTTTTCAGACGATAAGATGCACTTAAAATCCTTACATTTTCTCAAAAATTGACAGTGCGCCTTATAATCCAGTGCGCCTTATGTGTGATTACTTGTTTTGCTTACTAACCGATTTTATGCATCACAATGCGCTCAAAAATCTGTTGAAATGTGTAAGTACGACTTTGGCAAGCAACAAAGCTGCTCTGCTCAATGGGAATTCGGAGCATTACGGTATGCTGTGTCACCAACTGATTGGCCCCGTAACAGGACCCCTGAGCTGTCTACAAGACTGCCTGACTGTAATGTCTAAACTGGAAGTGCATTCATGTAAGGCATCCCGGGCCCTGAGTACACGCTAGCAACAATAAACCAATCAATGCTTAATGCACCTTACAAAGACATGCTTATTCACAGTGCGCCATATAATCCAGTGCCCCTTATTGCCCGAAAAATAGTTACAGATTTCTATCCATTTTTTTCCTCAACCCAAATGCAGAAGGTGTGTTTAACACAAAGGATCTAATGCGGTTAATGAAATACAAGAACTCACAGATTAGCATGCAGAACAAAAAGACAGTCTCACTGCAAAGTTGAACACCGCCAACACAGATAAAAGCCTTCTACATGGAAATTTGAGAGGTTTATAACTGATATTACAACAGAGCAAAATGTGATCATAGATACATTCAGGGAGAATTACTTCCCCTTCAGGACTGCGAGGTATTTACAGCACAGAGCTGACAGCCTCATCTGCATACAGCCTCAAAGCAATTAACACCTGCAGAGTGGGGACAGCGCTGCTTTACGGTATAACACTAACCCCCTGTTGAGAGTTGAAGCACTTTCACCAAGTTAAACATGCTGTCTAGTCTGTCTTTACAAACTTACATCCTCTCGGTCCAAATTACACCCAGGTCTGACACAAACAGTCTAACCGGTGTACAGGGTCTGGACTCTCAAGTGTTTATGGATGTAGAGTTACACAGAGGAGTTGTTGGGCTTCATAACACCTCTTCAGAAAACAATCGATGACTTCACTGGAACTACATCCATGATTGTATCCCAGCGTCTACCATTTTTGAATGTCTCCATGGCAACACTGAATCATCCCTCCATGCTCTTAAAAGTTTTGGAAAAAGTGCACAGTAGCTTTGTGAAGGAGGTTCAAGTTTCAATAAAAAAAACACTTGCCTGTGGGTTTTTACTTCATCGGATCACTGTGGAAGACTAGAATTGACTAAATATGCCAAATCTGACCTTGAATTGAAACAAGTTAAAGTTGGGCAAAGCTCTGTCAAAGTAAAAGCCTCAGACAACCTAGAGACATACCTACAGGAAAGATTTCATTTAAAGCAAGTAATGCAGTATTTTGCTATCTCTATTTGTTTTCAATTTCAGGAAGCTTCAATCACTGCTTGCCTCAGATTCAGATAGGCGGAAATATGATTTATTACGTCGTCTTCTATCAGAAACCTGACAAATTTAAGATCCTCTCCTTCTACTCTTAATGTCATTTATTCTCTTGAGATTTGAGCTCAACTGTCACTCTATAAAAAGAAGCTCTCCAGAGACGGTGATGTCTTTCAGATTGCAGGATGATTTATGTTGGAAAATGTCCGTTTTGTACTGCAGAGCTCCCATTGTAAATTTACGATCCTGTCTGTACCTTAAAAACCAAGCAACATTTGTGGGATTGTTATCGAAATGACAGTGGAACAGATGGGTATGACACACATCTGTGGAATCCAATGATGTGTGTCTTTGTCCAACCTGTCTAACTGTGTTTTCGTCCTCCCAACGTTTAAATGAAAGCAGGCTTTGTGTTCAGACATTGTTCTAATGCCACTTCCTGAAAAATTAAACTCACTTTTCCTGCAACATCTAATCAGGACGACCTAAATCAATGGTGCTGCCCCAACCTTTTTACACACACAGTGACACATTGGATAGCGTCTATTGGCGGGTAATTGGGTTTGCAGGCCCCTAAACTAATTTCATTTTCTAATAGGGACACAAGCAGGAAGAAGATAATGTCATGTTAGTCGCTTGTAACACAAGCAAAAAGAGCTCGGCTAGGAGAGAAAAGGGCTGCTTTGCCTGCAATATGAGGAGCAAGGATATTTTCCTCAACTCACATGTACAATTCATGAGCATAAAACACCTTAAAGCTCACGTGAGGACTTCATTATCTGGCTACGAAAGTAAAAATACATATTTATTTGACATTTACCACAGCGAAAGCAGAGAAAGCAGATGAGACACTAACACGTGTTCAGGAAAAAATATGCATATAAATAAGAGTCAGAAGTTTATGCCCCAACATGTGTGCTTGCATTTGTTATATCTGTATTTTTATCCTAAATCACAAAGAAAATTCATCTCCTGGTTTATTTGACTCTGCTACCTCAAAATAATAACAGAACAGCGCTCACCTCGCTGTACTTCCACCTACTCATAATTAAAATGTTGCTGCATTCAGGTCCTCTGAGGACTTTTTTGTAGTGATGCACGATATGAAAAATTTCAACCGATACCGATAACCGATAATTTTCTCCTTCTCATGGCCGATACCGATACCGATAACCGATAAATTCATATTTTTACATTTATTATTATCTTCATATAATCTGCAGTTTGTGCAGGATGCAGCGATTGAAAACTGATATTTTTGTTGCTCTGGCCTATCTAGAACAACAAACTAAAGTTTTTGGCTCTTCAAATGTGGTCATTTGCTATAAATAACAATAACAGAGCAAAAAGCAGAACTACCATTTGATCCCCTGAACTGTTCAACAGAACTGTAAACTGTAAAGGAGCTATTATGAGCTGTTGGGCTTAGCATGCTGACCGGACTAACATCTGACGTCCATATGTCTGTGGTAAAACTCGTGTAGTCCCTTTCTGTCGATCAGGTTGTGAATGTATGTGGCGACAATATCATAGAGTGCAGGAAGAGACACATCTGAGAAGAAGCGGCGGCTTGGGAGAGTGTAACGTGGCTCCAAGTGTGCTATTAACTTACGAAAACCCGGGTTCTCAACGATGGAAAAAGGCTGGTCGTCGACCGCTATGAACTCCATCACTTTGTCGTTAATGACTTTAGCCTTTTCGCTGTCTCTTGAGAAGCTTTTGCAGTTTTTAAACGCCTGCTGAATGGGGACATCGATCCTCCGTAGTGTTGTTGTCTTAGCTTTAGTACCGCTAGCAGCTTCGGCGGCTGTCTCATATTCTTTTAATACCGCTTCGCCGCGATGACGACTTTTCAGATGAGCTATCAGATTCGTTGTGTTAAAACTTGACGTCTTCTTTCCTCCTCTCGGAATCCTTGCTGAACAGGTTTTGCATATAGCAATGCTGTTGTCATCTTCTGCCACTGAGAGAAACGACCATGCTGGTGAAGACATTTTATTATCTGTCAGGTAGTGACGGGGTCAGGCTTGGGACCTGCGAGTAAGGCGCGATAGATGACGTAACCAGCGCGTCTCGGACGGGCGGCTACTCCGCCTGCAAACGTTACTCGTAATTTCATTAATATATCGGATCTTTCTATCGGAAAAATGCACCTATCGGACCGATAAAAAATGACGTAATTTCCCCCCAAATCGGCCGATATTTTATCGGTCCGATAAATATCGTGCATCCCTACTTTTTTGTAAACTCATTTTATGCAATTTGCATGCATAATGTTTTTAATTTACACCATCAGAAAACTTGTTCCGGTAATATAGATGAGCTGTTTTATCTATTTTTCTGAGGTAAACTAAAGCCCTTTTTAATACGCTTGTTTCAATTTAATTTTCAATGCACCTGACATCTTTGACAGAGAGATATCCAAGATTTGGATGTTGTTTTGTTGCCTCTAAAAGCTTTCTCTGATGCTCTCAGTCCTCCTCTTAATGGTGACTTGTAATCTGGCTGCTTATTGACATGTTTAGCCTCTCAGAGGATAGCCATTACAGGATCTCTGCAGAGCTCCTTCTTAGCAGGCAGGGTT